TAAATATTTATTAAATATAAAGATATATTTATTTGATACAAGAAACATTAATTTGATTTAACAATCATTCATTTTACTGAACGAATATTTATTTATAGTAAGTAAATGTTTAGTTGGCAGTATTGAATTAAATATTTATTAAAATTGACTATATTTTTTTCTCAGTGTACTTATTAAGGATCTTGTCTCTACTAAATAAATACATATTTATCTTTAATAAATATTTAGCTAGTATTATTTAAACAAATTTTATTAAAATTTAATACATTTTTCTCTCAATATACGAGCAATAGAATACCTATAAAACTGAGCTTTGCGCCGCAGGCGCATCTTGAAAATCGAAACTTTCTCTATCGTTATCGCGCGGCGCGTTTCGACTACAATGCGTGCATTCCGCCGTGGATTGACACGTGCACGCGTGCATTGGGGGCAAAGTGCACTTGACCGAGTCAGCTGCCGCGCGTTTAACGGATCGCGAAGACCGCGGTGGATAAATCAACTTGCAGTTGACTTCGAGAAATTCAGGACTTGGTGAATGCAACTATACTGAAAGATATTCGTCGTAGGGAATTCGTTTAATTGCCGTCTGCTCGTAATTTTACGTTGCATAAATGTATCCCGGAACATTTAAGAGACGTAAATGAAACCGTCTTGTCAAAGCTTACTCATCGTTTACTAAATAGGCAAAGTTGCGTGACGGATGTGAATCTGATCTATTAAGTAATAACTTGATTACTTTTTATCGTACGATGATTGATTGCGCGTTTGCGGATTTTTTAAAATTAAGAGTTTGTTATGTGCGATTTAATTATATCCAATGTTATTAACTTATATCCAGTTGAGCCTTTGCATTATTTATGTATATATTTCCTAGTTTTTCCTTCTTTTTTTCATTATTTGTACACATATCAGTTTTACATATGCAACAACTCGACGTCTATGTATATAAAATCTTGATTTATTATCGTATAATATTATATAAATATTTATAAATATATGATCTTATTTTTCTGCATTTAGTATTTTTAACGAACACATTTCGCAGCGTGAAACATCATTATCTGTAAAATTTAAAGATATACTTATTTACAACATTGAATAAGTCTCTGCAATCTTTAAGATGCATTTTACCTTTATTCAAATTTACTGCAGTTTATGCAGTTTATGCAGTTTTAGCCAATGTAAATTAATTCTCTATATAACAACATTTATAACATTTTAAAATATTTAAAGATAAGATATAGAATATATTTCGATAATTACCGTTTATGTAAAAATAAGTCGCACTTCTAAGGATTAATGATAATTCTTTATTTACACATTTTTTAACGATCGACGAACGTCGATAACGCCACGATTATAGAAGTAAGAGATTGGGTCTGTTATATTCAGGATGCTGCTCAAGATAAAATGAGATAAATTATGTATTAGATGGAGGCTATTCTGATATATGTACATTGCCAGTACTAGAAATTTATATACAATATTATATACAGTTCACATTACATATAAGCACTACAGATTTTCAATACTGGCAGTATGTAGGATTAGAATAAGATATTTATGTATCTGTATTTTATATACATCTATCCTACTCTATCTTAAGCACTATCCTGAAAATGAGACCAGTTAAAAATTGTCTGAAGCCGGTATTCATACAGTCCATTCTCATTTTAAGATCGTCTTAAAAATAATGTCTTAAGACTACTAATACTCTGATTAATTCATGACATCTTAAGGTACGATTATAAATACCAATCTAAAGCTACGTTTCGATATTCACTGCCAGAATTGAAAATCTATAGTGCACGTTAAGTGCGTTATAAATTTTCAGCAAAAGCAGCTTAAACAATGTCTAATTTCTTATTTGAGCATCTTTAGCTGATATTCGACGACGATAGTCGTATTAAGATCGAGAGAACGATCAAGAAGTCTTCTTGACATATCAGTCAAAGAGCCGATTTTGAGCCTTCGAGAGCTCCTACCTCCACCGAGTCGAGGATCATTTCGGCGACGAAGAGCGTACTTGAATGCACCGCATGCACCTCGCAGATCTCACTAACTCTTGTCGACTGGGAATGGTTTTTCTTGCAGTGTCGATTAATCCGCATCGCGCACAGAGAAGCATCTCGCCGGGTGAAGTGTTGATCTTGGAAGAGTAAGAACGACCGGATAGAGAACCGCCACCATGATCGTGGACGATAAACAGTGAGTCGTAGTGTAAACGCATGGTATATGCCACTGCGTAGCTCGTAGACATACGGAGCCTGCACCGCTATGCATCGCGCATTGTTCGTTGCATACGCTGCATGAGCTCTCTGCTGTATTTTCTATTTCTGCTTATACTATTACGACTCTCTACGCCCTCGGATGCGAATGGCCCACGATGTTAAATTAAACGTGCTGTGGGCCTCTTGGCTCGTAGGACTTCCTAAAACGATGAGTTCTTTTATTAATTTTGTTTTGCCATAATGCTCAAAGCACGTTTCTTTCTTTATGATCCCCTTCTATATGTTACAATTTAAGTCACATATTATTATATGTAGTCATATTTTTTTTCCTTATTATTTATATATCTGCAATTTTCTCATATGATGATATTTTTATCACTATTTTTAATTTTCTTCGCCGGAAAATTCCGTAGAGTACTTCGCAACGTAGATGCTAATTAAACTGCTAATTAAAATTATTGTTATTATTTTATCTATTTCTATCGCTTTGATTTATCTGTCTTTTGTTCTTAGCATGACGATTTTGTTCTCAATGTTATCGGCATGAAATATATAAATTATAGTTAGATATGATACAACAATATATCGTAATGTTTTATCTTAATTATAAAATTTATATAAAAAGTGATCATGTGATTCTAATCTCTCGTTCAAATTAGTAAATGTAGAATATGTTACATAAATTAAATTTAGAATCACATTATCATTGTTTAGCATCGAACAGAACGTATATTCCGTAAGTATATCTTTTCTTTTTCTTGTTAGAGAAATAATCAGATCAAATAATTAGATACAAAAATGATAGCGAAGAATTTGAACAATCGGTATTGTTACAAGGTCGATCCTCATTGGAAAAATATTGTATGAGTTTTTTATAAAAATTTTTCCATAATAACCAACGCTTGAATACACATAAGTTTCAACGTGACTATATCGTTGGATTGAAATCTAAGCATTTCTGTGTAGCTTTTATCTATGATACTTTCTTAGTAGTTTCTCTCGTAGTTTGTAGATTATCTATATTTTTGTATAAATTTTGCATAATTATATGTATTAGTTTAACAAAAAATATATAGAAGTATGTTAATTGTTAAATAATTAAGTAAATGCTTAATTATTAAATAATTAAGTAAATTATAAGATATATGTGGATTTGGATTAAAATTTAATCATTTCCTATCAAACGTAGATTGTAGACTTTATTTACGATAGCTTCCTGTATAGCTTGTAGACTTTATGATAACTTTATGATAACTTTTTTTTATAAATTTTGTATTCTGGATAATTATATTAGTTTATCAGAAAATCTTGAAGTTTGTTGATCATTAAATTATTAAATACATTACAAGATATAGATTTAACCTGCATCGATTTATGTTCAAGGAGAAAGACGAGATACGAAAATATTTAATGGACTGACTCTCTTCTTTGTTTCAATTTTTAATGAGTATATGATTGGAGATCGTGTTTGATTGTAAGTTTGGTTGTAGATCGGTAGTAAGGTATTGCTATTTTAATATTATGCATAAATGATGCCGGAACTTTTCTACTCGAATGTCGAAAGCAATGTGGAATAAAAATATAACTTATTATCTCTTAATGCAGATGAGAGAAGAAAATATATTTCGTAGTATATCGATTTCTCATCTGAGTAAAGGGCCATGATATATAAGTTTATTTTATTTTTTATTGTTGCTTCTTATGTTATATTGTTTCTATATATAAATATTTCTTTAAAAGTTAATAATTCAGTTTTTTTTAATACAAAATTTTTGTTTCAAAATATTTATAAACAAAATTCAATATTCTGTGGACATAATATTTTCGAATGTTCGTTAGACGCATTGCAAGGAAAATAAAAAAATACAACGTAATCCAAACTGATACTGTATTCGTTTTGCAAGACTTTCTCGCGATCCCGAGAGAAAAGTTTTTATTCGACTCGCGGGAATTTGCGACAAATCGTTAGAAAAGAAAATAAACAGCGAGATCTCGAGATCTTCAGCGGACGATGTACTCCGGCATTTGACCGTGAGACGCCTGTTACCGCACAGTTGGCCCCCTTCGTCCCCCTTCAACTTCCGCCTTACGCATGAGACCCTTTGGACCCATACTCGACCGCAGATAAGACTCGAGAGACCGGTTGGCTCCATCCATTCGCTCGCTGCGTGCAATGTGAACTTGCGACGTTCAAAGTCCGTAACGATATTGAAATCTCGATTACGGGTTCTCTCGGCGTCTTTTTCTGCAACACTTTGATCTTCCACATAGATGAGCTAATTGGTATATTTTAGTTACTCTTAGATCATGTAGTAATATTTTTTATTTCTTTTGCAATGCGTTTAATATTTATTAGAAAACTCAAATATGAACTTTGAACATCAATTAATTGCATTTATATTTACATTATATTTTATACATATATTAATAATAATGAGATATATGAAAATACATAATTATAATTAGCATTTCAGATTACCGTATCATAAATCAACAACATCGAAGTAAAAAATTAATGATAAAACACAGTGTCATTATATATGATATATAATAAGGAACGAATTAACTAATTTCCACTATCATGCAGGATGTCCCACGGAATCATCGATTTTATCATAAAATCATAAATTGTAAAGCAGTTAATGTTTTTTCTCCCATTTTTAAATTAAAATATGCGAGACATGAGATATAATAAATGAAAATTGCAGTTAATCGCAAAAATAAGGCTACATTTAATGATTTAATTTCAATTTTAACGTACTCTAATCTCATCTTTGATGAGATTTTATTTTTAAAGCGATTGCTATTTTTTAAAACCTATTTCTTACTTTCTTTAATTGAAGAAATCTAATTGTTCCTGTATCGATTATACATACAGATTTCTATTAAATTTTAAAAAAATGATTTAAAGACTAGCTTTAGACGTCAATATCTTTGCTCTATTTCTCCATTTTCTTTCTACTTATAGACTTGTAAATTATACAATTACGAAAGTGCTATTTTTCTTATACGACTCTTAATGTAAATTTAATTTCAAGTGTTCCATATCGTCATGTATATTTTATTTCGTTATATATCTTGTATTCCATATTTTATTTTTTAATGCTTTCACGATGATAATAAGTGCGTTTATTTGCTAATTGGTATATGTGAAACTAGATAGATGAGCTAATTGGTATATTTTAGTTACTCTTAGATCATGTAGTAATATTTTTTATTTCTCTTGCAATGCGTTTAATATTTATTAGAAAACTCAAATATGAACTTTGAACATCAATTAATTGCATTTATATTTACATTATATTTTATACATATATTAATAATAATGAGATATATGAAAATACATAATTATAATTAGCATTTCAGATTACCGTATCATAAATCAACAACATCGAAGTAAAAAATTAATGATAAAACACAGTGTCATTATATATGATATATAATAAGGAACGAATTAACTAATTTTCGAAATACATTATCTTATCAGTGTTTAATTTAATAGCGAAAAAACTGTAGTTTTACAAACTAACGTAATGTCAATCAAAGTTTGCGTCAGACCTGCTTGTTATTTTAAGTTAAATCGCAGGAACGTGACATAACTCGTGTTTGCTTCTCGTATATAGTATCAAGTGCGCTGCGTTATGCTGATACCGTCTGACTGCTATACGCACGATCAATATTAAGCAAAATTAGAAACTTGATTAATAACAATATTGTAGTGTGAAATGAGAAAGTAACTATTGATCTAAGTATACCTAAGGAGAAAGAGGTGGCATAAGTGCGTCGCATAATAAAGTTCAGGAATGGTCGGTATAACGTGAATTATAGAGGCGCAATCAATAGTAGAATAAAAAGTATCGTGAATATGATATGACGCAATCAATAATAGAATAAAAAAGAACGGATATGCAAGTCTGATCTAAATTGACTTCGTCCGCAGATTGATATTTTATCAGAACTGAACTTGACTTCGCGAAACATGTGATCGAAATAGACTTGAAATTAACTTTTTGGATTTATGTCTCTTTCTCATGGATATAGGTAGATCTATTTTTGGCCGCGTTTTCAGTAGAAAGTATTTTGTAACTATTGGAAATTTTTCTTTATTTGAGATAGAACTATTTTTATAGATTTAAAAGTGTAATTCAGTGCGAAAAAAATTTCCAATGGTTACAAGATAAATATTTTGCTGAACACGACCACTTATTTATATAAGTAATATTTCATAAAATGATCACTCTTTTATGCAGTATTAATATGAATCTTTCGTAGCTACATAAATTGTTTGATAAATTAAAATAAAAAAAAAGTAAAATGTTTCCTATAGTTCTAAGTTCACTAATTCTTTCTTGCAATAGACAACACAATCTTTTTTAAATATTTAAGTAAGATTAATACTTAAACATATCTTATCGTAAAAAAATATCGCCAACGAAATTTTATTAACAGACTGAAAATCAATAGCCAATATATATGTCGCACAAGGCATTAAAGGAGATGTAATTAAGCAACTTTTACATTTTTATTGTACAAGAAATACTATATTTTTTATTATTTAGGTTTGACAAGCGACTGTGATATTCTGGTACCCTCCATGTGATGCTAGAAAAGGCAAACTAATTAAATGATGATGTCTTTCTAGTTCTTCGCTTCGGGAATACAATTACATTCTTATAATTGTTGATGCATACTATAGATGTATATGATTGAATTTGTATCCTATTGCTTCAATAGCTTGTTATCATATCACTTATCGATCTTAAATAGATGTCATGTCTGTAAGAATGCTTCTTTTTTTTTTTTCTACGCACGTAGCATGATAAGTGTTATGTTACAATATCTGTGACCACGCTATAAAATAGATAAATGGCGCTAATTCGTCAAAGTCCATGAAAGAATTAATCCTGGTGATTACATATTATCGATTGTTTATATACGAGATTGTTTATATAGTTTTTGATCGTTATTAATTCAAATTGTTTGCAAGACGCATGATTTCGACTGATAGCCTTTACTCTCACGCTTGAAAACTGCTTACTCGAGTAGATAATTCGCTTGCTACGATAAGCAGAATGAGATATTGTAGTATCCGATAAGACACTGTCGCGGGAATATATAGATAACTAATAATATTCAAGATTGTATCTTTCTACAAGAAATTAAAGTACAATGATCGAATTATATAAATGTATAAATTATACAATTACAATAATTTTTTTTCTTTTGAAGGGATATGAAAATAAAATCTAAATTTATTTACTTCGAGTTTTGCACTCGTTATAATCTTTTTGCGTTCAAATTTCACAAGAGAAGAGAAACAGGAATAGTGTTTTTTATTAACGTTGATGTCTAAATACGAATATTGAGTGATTTCTTTATTTAACAGGGAAATGGAAGGTTTCTGGATCTATGGCGCGATCCACGCGATCAAGGCTCTGTCGTACGTGTACGACTTGCTGACCTTCCCCGTGTATCTCATACTTCAGCGACCATGGGAGAAGCGTAAGGCTTCCAGGAGGATCAAGGCCCGTCCAATCTCCAAAGATGATAACCAGATCACTTACAGAGGCGTCGATTCTCCTAAATCGATGCACATCATGCTTGAACGTGAAAAAGTTGATACTCTGGAAAAGATACTTCTTTGCGTTGTCAAAATGTACGGCAATAAGAAGTGCCTTGGTACCAGACAAATCTTAGCAGAGGAAGATGAGCCTCAACCTAATGGCAGAATCTTCAAAAAGGTAATATATCTCAGACATTTAAATATAAATCCTTTAATATTTCATAATGTGAAAATTGTCATTTTTTATAGAAAGAGAAGAATTTTTAGGATGAATCTCAACATGTCTATATGCTCTCTTTACTTAATATAAATATCGAAGAGATACAAAACTAATTTTGTATTGTGAAATTCTATCTATTTTCCAGTATAAAATGGGAGAGTACAAATGGAAGTCATTTAGCGAAGTCGAAAAGTTGGCCTCTTCCTTCGGCCGAGGTTTAGTAGAACTCGGTATGAAGCCACGTAATAATATTGTTATCTTCGCCGAGACGAGAGCGGAATGGATGATAGCGGTACATGGATGTTTCAAACAGAATTTTACCGTGGTAACGATATACGCGACTTTAGGCGATGAAGCTATTGCTCATGGTATCAACGAAACCGAAGTAGATACTGTCATTACTAGCCATGAACTTCTGCCAAAATTCAAGCGTCTGCTAGACATGATACCGGAAGTCAAGAAAATTATCTATATGGAAGATCAACTCAAACCGACTAGCACCAAAGGTTACAAGGTATATTTTAATTTAAATATTGAATATTAATTTTTGATACGAATTAAGATGCATTTAGATGACTTTAGACTTTTTAGATTAAATCGCAAGAGTATACATAATCTTTATTCAGATTTTTTTTTATGATTGTACGTAATTATAATTAATGGAATATTCATTCGTTATTCATTCGTTATTTGTTAGCGAAAATTAATTTAAATAATTGGTTATGCGCGCCGTATGTATCTATTAATATTATTTTTCTTTTAAAAATTTATTTTGCCTAATAGCTGTGGCATTGACTATGATTGACTGTCATGTTATTACGTAATGGTTGATGTCAGTACTGCCACTTATGATTAATAGTCTTTACTTTCTTGTTTTTTTTTTTTTTTTATTTAAGTATTCTTTATTATTTGTTTCAGGATGGAGTGCAATTGTTATCCTTCGCCGATGTTATCGAAATGGGCAATAAATCAAGTGCGAGTGCTAATTCACCAAAGAATGATGATACCGCTATAATCATGTATACGTCTGGTTCGACGGGAGTGCCGAAAGGCGTCCTTCTCTCTCACAACAATATCATTAGCAGTCTAAAAGCATTTTCCGATGTTGTAGAGATTAGCTCAGACGACATTTTTCTCGGTTTCTTGCCATTGGCCCATGTCCTCGAACTACTGGCCGAAAGTGTGTGTCTTTTAACCGGAGTGCCCATTGGTTATAGCTCACCGCTTACACTGATTGATTCGAGTAGTAAGATTCAGAGAGGATCGAAGGGTGATGCTTCCGTCCTACATCCAACTTGCTTAACTGCAGTACCGGTGAGTTTCAAATCTTTGCAAATCATTCAATTTCTTATTAATTATTATTAATTTTTTTATCTGAAAAGAAAATTGTTTATCTACTAATCACTAAGTTTTATTCAGAGCATCTTAAGTCTTTAAGTTTACAAATAAAAAAAATATTTAATAAATGAAAAAATACATCAATATCTTTTTTAAAACAAATTATCAAATTTTGTTTCTAATTTTAATACGATTTTTTAGATAGTACTGATACACAAATATAAAATTGTTTCAGCTTATTCTCGATCGAATTTCCAAAGGAATAAACGAAAAAGTGAAGAAATCTGGTCCATTTAGACAAGCTATTTTTAATTTTGCATATGAATACAAATTAAAATGGACGAAACGAGGCTATGAAACGCCTCTTTTCGACAAGTACATCTTCGGAGCCGCGAAGCAAGTACTAGGCGGTCGTGTTAGACTTGTGCTCTCTGGAGGCGCTCCGCTCAGTCCGGATACTCATAATCAAGTGAAACTTTGCCTATGCGTCACCGTAACTCAAGGATATGGACTCACAGAAACGACTTCTTGCGCAACCGTTATGGACAGTATGTATTTTTGAACCGGAATGTTTATTCGATGTTCCTATTGTCACGTATATTTTTCTTTTAGCGTATGATAGAACTACCGGAAGAGTTGGAGCACCTACTACGGTTTGCGATATCCGGTTAGAGAATTGGGAAGAAGCTGGTTATCGAGTCAAAGATCATCCACATCCCAGAGGAGAAATCGTGATCGGTGGAGACATAGTTTCCGCGGGTTACTATAAATTGCCGGATAAAACGAAGGAAGATTTCTTCCAAGAGGATGGCAGACAATGGTTCCGAACAGGTGATATCGGCGAATTTCATGCAGATGGTTCTATCAAAATTATTGGTACGTCCCAAAAGTTACATCTTTAATATCTTTAATAACTTTTTGTTCTTAAAGAGAAATATATAATAATATTCATTTTCGATATTTTTGATGATGTTTATTTACGTAGATCGAAAGAAGGACTTGGTTAAATTACAACTCGGCGAGTACGTTTCTTTGGGTAAAGTTGAGGCCGAGTTAAAGACTTGTCCTGTCGTAGAAAATATATGCGTTTATGGCGATGCGAATAAAGCGTACACAGTGGCATTGGTTGTACCTAATCAGCATTATTTAGAAGAAATTGCTAATAATCTAGGCATAATTGGAAAGAATCTCGAGGAACTCTGTAACAGTCCACAGATCGAGAAAGCGGTACTTCAAGAACTTGTTGAGCAAGCAAGGAAATGTATGTTTCTGTATATTTTTTATTATTTTTAATTTTGTTATCGTCAATCGATAAATTTATTATTATTCAACCTTTATCGTTTATAGGTAAGCTCCAAAGGTTTGAAATACCCGGTGCGGTGAAGTTGTGTGCAGAACAATGGTCACCCGATATGGGTCTGGTCACTGCGGCGTTCAAACTCAAGAGGAAAGCGGTTCAGGAACGTTATCAACATGAAATTAATAGGATGTATGCCTCGTGATGTTCCGCCATAGGATGCACTAAATGTTGCGTATAATGGGGATTTAAATCTAAGAAATTACCTTGTCCAACAGACGGTACCTCGATAATTCATAGATACATATAAACATTGTCATAAACTCATATTTTACACTGGTCACGGTGCCAAGCTCGTGGCAATCGCGTGTGCAATCGTAATGATAATCAAAAAATCTCTGCATTCTTTGAGTGATTTTCTCGATTCCGTCATTTGATTAATGATCCACTGACGTTTCATCAAATTGTCGTTAATTCATTTAATTGAGTCGAGAAGTTTATTTGTAGAACGTTGAGACCTTTTGATCTAAAAATGAAAGTATCGCTTTTTTAAGGCATTTTTTCATTAGGTCTTCCGAGCGCGATAAATTTTTTGCAATTTTACATCGGTATCGATTGTTACACACGAGTCGAGTATTTCGATTTCGTGATACGAAATCGATGGGATTTCTTATGTATCACTTTCCGTATTCACTTTACGTATGCATTATCAATGATAAATGGATATCATAAAGTTATAGTAGTGCGATATTGGAAAAAGATAATGGTACAAGACGATTTTTCACTGGGAAAGTTGTCGTCATATTCCCTCTATTTTTCGATAATTTTTCATTATGTCATTCGATTCGCGCATTTCAGTAGTGCACCTATCTAATTGTTGGTGTTAATGGGCCAGTCACGATATCTTTGCGAACGAGCTGGTTTCAGCTTCACAACTCGTATGGTGTACTTATTTTGAGTGTCATTCAAAATTCGTTCAGTTTTTAGAGGGGACGGAATGTTTGAAAAGGATCTTTCCGAAGGGTCTTTCGTTTTCTTACGAATAATATATCATGTACATATAGAAAAGAAACGAAAAAATAAGGCTGTTCGTGTTCGGCACGTATAGATCAATTTCAATAAGGAAATTTTAATAATATATTGTGTAAATTAAAATTTCTCTCTCATCGATACTACCACTTAACATTATACTCTTATACCGTCTGTCTAGTAATTTGTCGACGTACTCTGCCTACTTTTCGAAATATTAATTCAAGCATCACAATATTTCTCCCAGCAACAGAGAGAATATTTTTGTGTATATGTGTATGTGCGAGTGTATGCGAGAGTGTTTGATTTTCATTGTTGTATGCTTGTATGCACATATATGTCTATAAGAAAAAGATTAGGAAGTAAAACGTATGTGAGCTTATAAAAAAAATCATGTTTTACAAATATGTAATTGTTCTTTACTGTTAATTTTCCATGCGCGTGTCTCTCTCTGGCGGTTCGAGTCATACGACTGAATTTATGTATATTTCAAGGCAGAACTATATATTTAAAATATTTTAAGACATCTTGAAATATATCTTGCTTCTTCATTTGTTTGAATAAATGAAATTTTGCTACGACAGGAAGTCAATTTTCAAAATTTTTCATAATTTATGTATTTTGTTAGTATTGTATATTTCTTAAATATAATTGATATATAATATTATTGATATATAAAAAGATAATAATTTGCGTAGAAACCACTTGAGCCATACAGTTCAATGAAAATTTAAAATTAAACTAAATAATCCGCATTAATCCC